ACAATGGGGAATGATGTGGCCTGCTGAAACACCTGAAGGACAAGTTAGTATAGTATCTGCCTGTTCTATTATGAAATATACCCACTCTTGCAAGTTGATTCTCTGCTTCTAATGAGGCATATTTGCTGGTGACGCTAGGCTTGTGGATTAGTGAAGAATCTCGCATTGATGGTATACATTACAGTTGGGTCAGCAGCATATCCCATCCTGGAGTTTTTAGAAGAATGGGGTACCGAGAATTTTGAGGTGCATACTTTTGAGTTCTGGGCCAGCGGATGCTGATTTATGTTTCCATGTTCTTTTAGTATGATTCATTCCCTTTAATTGCAGGAAATATCCCCTGCAGTTATTCCCCAAGCAACAAAAATTTTTGTCAATGGTGGCTGGGTGGGTATCCATCGTGATCCTGATATGTTGGTGAAGACATTGAGACGGCTGCGGAGACGGGTCAGTTTACTTGTTTTTGTTATTTTCTGGTTGTAATAGTGGGAACAAATCTTAGTTATTCTTCAAGAAGCAGAATATGGGCTTGGATCATGGTATGGCTGCATAAATTTTTGGCAGTACAAATGTTTTAAATGTGATCCTTCAGTTGAGAGGGGGGACTGGATATGGAACATTTGAGTGTGTGATTCTGTAAGCTTTATAACTGCATTGGCTTGATCAGGTCCCATAGAGTAATATATAACTAAGAGCCAAACCCAAATGCAGACATGCAATGGAAGAGTAATCTAGAATTCTTCTTTGTTGTCCGGTAGCTTTTAGCTTTTTTCTAGCATTTTGCTGTTTTTTGCCCATATTTGTAGTGGCTTTGAGTGAAGCAAAAAGTATAAATGGTAAATAAAATTCCAGAACAGGAAGAAATTAATTCATACATGTAAATGTAAAATTCCTTTGGAACATAATATTACTGATTTGATCCCAAAATGACATGATTTATAAGTGCTCTAATCTCTTGATTAAGAGAAACATTTTTATGCTTATTGACATCTCGTGGTTGCATCTAAGGGTTTAAACCCTTGTGGTGCATTTAATGAATTTAAGCACCCAAGAGCAGCCCACATCATACAAGATACTTGCCAAGAAGAGGATGTTATTGTGTAAAAGAATGTTTTGTATTTGAATGCTGATGGTCTTTAAATGTACAGGTTGATGTCAATACTGAAGTTGGGGTTGTTAGAGATATTCGCTTGAAAGAGTTGCGGATTTACACTGACTATGGCCGGTGCAGTCGTCCTCTATTCATTGTGGAGAAACAAAAGCTTCTTATAAGGAAGAAGGACATCCATGCACTGCAACAGAGGGTGAGCCATTTCGTTTATAATGATCATCTTTTCAAATGTTTTCCTCTTCAGCTGCTATATTAGTGCTATTTGTTATCTTTTTTTCTAGGAAACCCCAGATGAGGGTGGCTGGCATGATCTTGTGTCAAAGGGATTCATTGAATATATTGACACTGAGGAAGAAGAGACCACTATGATATCCATGACCATACATGTAAGTTAACTTTTGGAAGAAGTCTCTTTCTCAAGTACATCCATCAGCTAATTCAGTAGGAAACTGGAAGCATCTGACAGAATTTGCTAAAATCCATGTCAGGATCTTGTACAAGCGAGGCTTAATCCAGAGGAAGCATATTCTGATACTTACACCCATTGTGAGATCCACCCATCATTGATTTTAGGTGTTTGTGCTTCTATCATTCCTTTTCCTGACCATAACCAGGCAAGTCAGTCAATTTCTTGTTTGAGGAAATTTGCCGGTGGCATGGTACCTGCTTGTATTTAATTATACATATTTGTTCTTGGTGGCTTGGTGCTTTTAGTCCCCACGTAACACTTACCAATCTGCTATGGGAAAGCAAGCCATGGGAATTTATGTCACCAATTACCAATTTCGAATGGTATGTCTTTTTTTCTTTTTCATTCTGCACTGTTTTCTTCAATTGTTACCTTTAGCATTATTTCTACTAATTCATGCCTTTTGTCCATCCCTTCCTTATTCAGGATACGCTGGCTTATGTTCTCTATTATCCCCAAAAGCCACTTGTTACTACAAGAGCCATGGAGCATCTTCATTTTCGGCAACTTCCTGCTGGCATTGTAAGTATCTGATTATATGCTTGTGTTGCTTTTTTTTTTCCCCACAAGAAGCTATGTTTATGGCTTTCTTTCTCTCTCTTGCTGCCTTAGAATGCTATTGTTGCGATTGCTTGTTATTCTGGATATAACCAAGAAGATTCTGTTATTATGAACCAATCATCAATTGATCGTGGATTCTTTAGATCACTTTTCTTCCGTTCATATAGGTAAGCAAGTTGATAACACATTTTGGCTTATGTGGTTCTTCTGATACTTGATTGAACTGCTGAGACCCTTTTTTAACTCACAGGGATGAGGAGAAAAAGATGGGCACACTTGTTAAAGAGGATTTTGGTCGCCCAGACAGAAGTAACACAATGGTGATGACTAGCATTCAGTACTTGGCATTCCCTTGCTGCTACTTGTTGGGCATTAAACAAAGAACTTTTTTTTACAGGGCATGCGCCATGGCTCTTACGATAAATTGGATGATGATGGTCTTGCACCTCCTGTAAGGATACTTAATTCAGTTGTGGTTTTTTTGCCAGTTGTGAGAATTTTATTTTGAATTCATTTTCTTTTATTGCATTATTAGGGCACAAGAGTTTCAGGGGAGGATGTGATCATTGGAAAGACGACTCCAATCGCTCAGGAAGAAGCTCAGGGACAGTCTGCACGCTACACGAGGCGTGATCACAGCATAAGTTTACGTCACAGTGAAACTGGAATGGTGGATCAAGTAAGCTCTTATTGTTTGAAATGCCATGTTTTGATTGAATTATGGTGCCTGTTGCTTTCATCATGAGAGCTGATTAATAAAAAAAAAAAATTCCCATTGCAGTATCTTATCATATCAGAGGAAGTGTGGATCATATAATTACAAGTAGCCAGCTGTTTGAAATAAAAACATGTTGCGCATAAATTTGGAAGATTGTTTTCCCCATCTGCAACCTGCCTGCCTTTTCTGATTGCTTTTTGTCTTTTGCAGGTTCTGCTCACAACAAATGCTGATGGGTTGAGGTTTGTGAAAGTAAGGGTCAGATCTGTCCGCATACCTCAGATTGGAGACAAGTTTAGTAGTAGGCATGGTCAAAAGGGAACTGTTGGCATGACTTACACACAAGAAGACATGCCTTGGACTGTGGAAGGCATCACTCCTGATATTATTGTCAACCCACATGCTATTCCCTCTCGAATGACAATTGGACAGCTTATCGAGTGTATTATGGGAAAGGTTGCAGCACATATGGGAAAGGAAGGGGATGCCACACCATTTACTGATGTCACTGTAAGTTGCATTCCTCTGAAATCTTAGGTTACAAAATTTTGGGGTGAAAGATTTGCTAATTCCCCAAGTGTATTTTCTGTTCTCCAAAGTCTTGCAAGATTTGGTTCATTGCTTGTTGCTTGCTGTGGAATTCTCTGATTGTGAAGCATACACTATTAAATAGAAAGTGACAAATTGTTAGGTGTTGACATTTAGAAAGTAGACCGAGAAGGCATCGGATTAGAATCTTAAATAGTTCATTGGTCATGTGTTTCTTTTCCTTCATTATATTCAATGGTAGATTTTATGGGTTAAGTTGCTGTACTAACTGACTGTAGAGGGACTTCCTAATCCTGATTTCTCACTTTGCATTTGTGAGAACAATCCTAAACAAGTTTTTGTTATGTATCCACGACTAAGTATTTGCTTTTGGATGCCTCTTCTTTGTAGTATTTGGAAAATAATCCCATGCTGCTGTTTTTTCTACGTTTGAGCACTATGGTAGTCTGTAGTTTATTTTTCTTGCTGTTTGATTGAATCTCTCCAGTTTGTTTCTTTGAAATTGTCTCATTTGGTTATTTGATGTATTAGGTGGATAATATTAGCAAAGCTCTTCACAAGTGTGGTTATCAAATGCGAGGGTTTGAGACCATGTATAATGGTCACACTGGACGCCGGCTGTCAGCTATGATTTTCCTTGGCCCCACTTATTATCAAAGGCTAAAACATATGGTTGATGACAAGATCCATTCACGTGGAAGAGGCCCTGTGCAGATCCTCACAAGGCAGCCTGCTGAAGGAAGGTCACGTGATGGTGGTCTCCGCTTTGGTGAGATGGAACGAGATTGCATGATAGCACATGGTGCTGCACACTTCTTGAAAGAGAGGCTATTTGACCAGAGTGACGCATATAGAGTCCATGTCTGTGAGCGTTGTGGGTTGATAGCTATTGCAAATCTCAAGAAGAATTCTTTTGAATGCAGAGGTTGCAAGAACAAAACCGACATTGTTCAGGTATTGTTCTTCGTATATTTTTCTTGATAGTGCACTTCACGAAACTCATGCTCTTATTCCCACGTTTGAATTTACTAAAAGCTTTCAACATTTCCCCCAACTGCGATTTGATTTTGATATGCAGGTGCACATTCCTTATGCCTGTAAGCTACTCTTCCAAGAGCTTATGGCCATGGCCATAGCTCCTAGAATGCTTACAAAAGATATTAAACAGGCCAAGAGCCAGAAGAAGAAGGGGGCTTAATTACTTGATGAAGGTGAAGAGTGACTTCCATGCTCGCAGAACAGGGCATGTTGGACGTTTATAATTGACTCAAACCTACCTAATAACAATGATGTTATGATGTTCGTGTATAAATGTTATGTCAGTAGCAATTTTGTTAGCATTGGATGATGGGTGCCGTTGAGTATATAGAGTAGTATTTAATCAACTATTGCTTTTCTGAGCCCAGTTTGTATTTCAGGTCTGTGTGTCCACTGAATGCTCTAAACTCATTTTACAGAGTGTCGTCGATTCAAGTTCAAGTTAGTCACGGAACTGCTTGCAAAATGAACTTCTGAAAGGGTTTTTTCACTTAATACTCGCACTAAAATTGCTGGCCGCTTTTTGGTTGGTTTGAGGTTTAAATAGAAACAGGATGTCTGCTCAATCAAAATTCATTTGGTTGCCGAATTCTCGGTTGTTTTATTATATTATTATTTTTCCCTACTAAATCTTCTTGTAATGGAATCTGTTACGTTGCCTAATAAATTAACCAATTTATTTATTCTAACTACATATAACATGTCTCTTATGCAGAAACTATAATATTTGTGATCGGAATTTACCTATTTATTCTACCTAGTATATATACAGACACGCATCATGGTAAAGTTGGGTTGAGTTAAAAATGTTTTGCTATATTCATTCCTGTTTTACTGTCTCAAACCTAATCACCGTTGCAATGAAATTCAAAGAGACCTTTCTCCAACTTTTTCTTTATTGAAAAAATAATAACAAAAAATTGTTATAGGATGAAAATTGAGTCACGAATCTCCTCTTTTCATTTTAGTTTTGACTTCTTTATACTTTAACATATTCCAAATTAAGTGTTCTTTTTTTTTTTTTACTTTCAAGATTCACTCTATATTTTTGCATAAAACTTATGAAATAACTTGATTGTGCTCAACATCAATAATCTTTAAACTAATTGATTATTTTTATTTCTTTGATAGAATGAATTTTGAAAATAAAATGAATAATTATTAATATTAATATAATTATTTTATTTCTCCATACAAAAATTCTGATTTTAGCCTCTTTTTTTTTGTTTTAAAAAATTAGTAGCTTAGATCCCCGTTCTTCTTCATCTCAAAAACACACCAATAACCTTAAAATCTACTTATTGTTTTAGTTGAAAAACCAAGATTTCTAAATAAAAAATTAAAATTATGATATTAAATTTTATTTCTAAAATTTAACACTAGTTCCTTAGAAAAAAATTAAAATTGATTATTTATATCAGATGTTATTGAAGTTGAGGGCATTTAAGTTATGTTATTTGTTTTATATGCAAAATATATAGGAAACCTCAAGAAAAAAAGAATTACTTGATTACAAATATATCAAAGTACAAGAAGATCAAAACTAAAATTAAGATTACATGAATTAGTATAAAGTAGACAAAAATTAAAAAATAGTACTTTTTATGTTGTAAATAAATAAACGATTGGCTAAATAATAAATAGAACTTATAAAAAAATAATAAATCCTGCATAAATTAATAAAATATTAACCAAAAAATTTAATCATTTTTAATTTTTTTAACTTAAATAAGTTCTAAAGTAGATAAAAAAAATTCAAAAAGAATTTAGCTATAGATAAATAAAAATAGGTAAAACGTTTAACAATTTTTTTAAAATTTAAATTTTTTTAAAAATAAAAAATCCTGCATAAATTAAAAAAATATTAAACAAAGAATTTAATCGTTTTTTAATTTTTTTTCGTCTTTTAAAATAACTTAAAGAAGTTTTTAAAGTAGATAAAAAAAAATGTTATACGTCGTGTGCAAAAAATAAAAATAAAAATAAAAACAAAACAAAACAAAGAACTCCTAGCGACTAAAGCCATAACCGTTGTTGTTAATTGACGTTGTGAACGACACCACACTGCATTTCTATATCCCATTCACAAAGAAGTCCCTCTTGCTTGCCTCTTGAGAGAGAGAGCCAACGAGAATGGCGAGCAAAGAAGAAGACATGGCAGAAGCAGAAGAAGAAGAAGAAGAAGAAGGACCACCGCCTGGCTGGCAATCTTTCCCTCCAGAACCATCTTTACCACCGCCTCCAACACCACCTCCGCCGCCTTCAGGTGAATCTCATCGTACATTTCTACCTTCAACCTTGAGCAATGATATATCTTCCAATTGAATCTAAGATCCTGCCAATATCAGCTACAAAACACTTTTTATTGTCTTAATCAATGTAATTGGTTGTTAATTTTTTGGGTTTAAATTAGTGGAGGGTTATTTGCATGCAGAACTGGGTCAAATGGTTTGTGGCTCTTGCCGCAGACTGCTTTCGTATCCAAAAGGAGTCAGACATGTTCAGTGCCAGTGTTGTCAGATGATCAACTTTGTACTTGAAGGTTCCTGCTTTCTTTTCTATCTTTAGCTTAAAAGATACTCTGATTATTGCTCAATCCATTAGCGTAATGTGTTGAGATATTGAAATTTAACCTGCTTGGTTTTCAGCTCATGAAGTTGGGCAAGTGAAGTGCGGTAGTTGTGATGTACTACTCATGTATCCATATGGGGCTTCATCTGTTCGATGTTCCTCATGCCGTGTCGTGACAGAAATTGGGGTAAGATTGTGGATATTTGCATCATTCTTTGGATTAGTTATGATTGGATGCTTTCTCAAGGCTGGCATTCAAGAGAAGTCTTTGCTTTCTTTATGATCAAATGTGTTGAGATGCGTTTGGTGTGTGATTTGGCATTGCAATATTAGAATTGTGAGAAGTTACAGAATTAATTATTGCCATTTACAAGGTTTAGAAATTACAGTGTTTCTTGGTTTCTTTCTTTTTCTTGTTGAAGTTCTTTTGGATTGTAATGTTAGGATGCATATAAAATGTTCTTGGAGGACAATGTGTTTTCATATTGATTTTTGTTAGGGATTTCTTTACACTTCAAACTTGACTAGACACATTTAGAGTTTGTACCTAAACTTTGGCCAAATTGAAGTTTTTAATAGTAGTTAGTGAAAAAGGTAATATGAGATTGTTGTCTATTATAATTTATAAATGTTTTATAGAAAATAAATCTGAAAAATCTTCTTAAAGAAAACACTGCAGGAGTTCTTTTTCCCCTGATGTTCCAGTTGTTGTTATTCATAACCTCATACATGCAAAGGCCATGTTCTAGACTCTTGTTTTGATGATGGTTCATGTGCAGGAGCACAACAGGCGACCACCATGGTCTGTGATACAAGGGTACCCTCCCCGTCCCGTGCCGTCCAACCCCATTTCCTGAGTGATCATCATCACGATAGATTTTTTTTTCTGATACCATAACTGGGTGCTGTTCACTTCTTGGGATGTCCTGCTTCCAAAGTCTCTCAAGAGACACTTCTGTGGTTGCTTAGCTATTATATCGATGTGCATGGATAGTGGATGCTCATTGCCCTCGAAGAATTATCATCTCTTTTAGGTATACATCAATAGTCCTTTAATCTTCTTAAAACAAGTGATTGTATGTTTTAGGAAAGCCCAGCTATTATGCTCTCCAGCTTGAGTCTGGAAGTTCTTAGGTATGGGTGCGGTGCTGCCATCCCAGTGTCTTCTTTTTGTCAAATCCATCTTTTACAGGAATGTCGAAGCTATTTATGCACTCTGCCATTGATCTTTATTGCAAAGATTGGCATTTCTGTGTACTTAGTGTCGGTGCCAATTTAAAGAATTTTGTTTTTAATAGTTTTTTTTAATCACATGCAGATATTTTGTACAAGATCCTTTTGTTCTTGATGTAACTTTTCTAGTTATTCAAAGCTGAAAGAAAAATGTTTTATGTCTTGCACTAGGGATGGTCCGATCAGTGGTGGTTCATCTCTAACTAGAACTAGAAAACATAGCTAGGAAGCATTTTTCTTTTCATTTTCATGTTTTTGGGCGTGGCAATGTTTAACTTGTCATGAACTCAAAATTTGTCCATAATTTGTTACGGCTAGTGCATATCCAGTCAATGTTTGGGGTGTGGCGATGTTTAACTTGTCATGAACTCAACTTTGCTTAGCGTTATACTCGAAATTATGTGTATGGTACTGTGATACAATGGACTAATCGTGTCCATATTCCTGCCTGGAAATACTAGTCTACGAACTACATGGTAGTCGCAGCCTGTGCTTTTGACTCTTGAAATCTACGTTGTAGTTTCAACTTGCAAGTGACTACTGTCTACAGCTGCAAAGGGGTCTTAAATCTGTGGGCAAAGCGTGTCAAGATTTTTGGGGATCAACTGGCATCAAACTAAAGAAAAATATATTGGAAGTATTAAAGAGTGACTCTCAGATCAACAAACAACATGGATCTTGTTGTAAGATCTTCACATGCTGCTGGCCGGCAAAATTTTCATCACAGTGATACGTTCTTACTGGTTGCCACGGTGGGCAATCTTAGCTGAACGAAGCAGCTGCTGCTTCCCGGTGATTTTCCTTTGTGCTTAACATAATGGGAAAATAGAGAGAGGTGGAAGTTCCATATACTATGGAAGCTGAAGCATATCACCAAGAAAAAATCTAAAAGTTCAAAACCCATTATCAACAAATAGATAGTTTAAATGCACTTTTATTCATGTAAAAACTTTGCAATTTCAGTGTGATAAACATTGAGAACTACTAGAATCAAATTGGCCTATCATTTCACAGCATATCAGAACAATGTTTTTGCTTACAACATGCTGTCTGTTTTAGCAGGCAATCTCCTGAGGAAACATTGGGGAATAGAAGGAATGCCAACACGAAGTCTCGGAGGCCTCATTGCATAAGTCCATGCGACAAGAACCAAGTACCTGAACTGAACTTTATGAACCAAAATACAAGCAATCAGACAGAATATCAAAAACATTGCAGTAGCTCGCGGATCCCTCCAGCTTACAAGAGCATGGATCCTCTCCAATTGAGTTGCCAAATCTCCTATCATTATCATCAACCTCCCTGCAATCCCTCTCAATCTATCATACCTTGTCTTCAGTGCTTCACCTTGCTTGGAAGTTGGAAATGTATCGAATTCTTCGTCGAGTTCATCATGCTGTGCAGTTTCAGCATGAGATAATTTGGTATCCATGTGTGGAGGATGTCTCGGCCTCTTCGGAAAGCGCCAAACCCCAAGCACGAAGAAAGCCAAAAGGAAAGCAGGCAATATTAGTTTTGGGGACATAACCATAGCAGCGAACAATGAGTAAATTAGGATTGTGACTGCTGAATTCTTCCAATGGCGTGTCTGATCAAACTGCCTCCAAATAAAAACGATACCACTCAAACATGCCATGACTCTCTCGCAATTTGCCTTTCCTCTTCTCAAGCTCCATCTGTTTACACCTGTATCAAGCATGCATTCCACAACCTCCCTGCTTAGAGGTGGGTCGGCACGGCCAAGCCTCAAAGAGAGAGTATAAGTAGCTTGGTGTCTTAAGCTCTCAAGCTGATAGACTGATAATGGCTTAAGGTAATGCATCATAGGAAGTAAAGGCTGTGAGTAAGTATGAAACAAGTCAATCCAATTGCTGCAGCTAAATTTCACAGCCAAATGAAGCTCTCCCATTTTCTTCAATCCATTAGGTTGCAAGACTATAAGCGGGTAGGAATGTGTGTAAATCCTACCAGTCTCGAGAGTAGACAACCGAATCCTTACCTTGCCAAGTCTTGGATCCCTCTTCCCTCCATTCTTATCCCCTTCCTGTAAATGATAATTATGAAAAACTCCAATAGTGACAACTGTGTACGGATCATAAACATCCCAGTAGTATTGCTCATTCCACTTTGGAGCAAAACTGTCTACTATAGTTCTAGTTCTAACCCACTTTTGCCCGTATTTCGCTACACAATAAGCATCGGTGGTTCCACGACCACCCTTGGACTTCGTTGGTAGCAACCCTTCGGCTTTTAGGATGCCTAGCTCCAATACCCCAATTTTCTCTGGCCATAACTTGGGAGATGTTGCCCTCAAATCACTGCAGTAGTAAGTTGGCTCGTCAAAAACATGATACACACCATCTAAAAAGATCCTCAAATGAAGCCTACCAACAAACTTCACTTCGGTCTTCTCCTCACCCTCCGCAACATGCTTCTGAAGAGTAATCCACTGATCACCAATAGGTTGAGGAAGCAATCTCTTCTCCACTTGGTGCAAAGGAATCACTGACCTCCCTAAACATGCATCATTATCAGCTCCCATCTTGTCCTCCACACTCAAAACCAAAGGATCATCAAATGGCTCTGCAGCAACAAACATCACCTCCTCATTCCAAGTGGGATTCAAATTCGTGTCCTTTGAGACTTTAGTCCTCAAAACCAAGTTCCCAAGAACAGCCTTGACGTAAGCTTCTGGTTTCCTGCTCCTGTCCGCAGGTGCCAAATCTTGCGCTGCAATCACTTGAATTCTGAGATACCAAAGTACGGGGGAGAGGTATACATTAGAACGAGTTTTTGTCACGCTTTTGCCACTAACGGCAGCTGCATCGGAATGCCAAGCAACCGGAAATGCATCATCAGCTTGATTCCCTATCCAAACAGCTAACATCAACTCTCCTACAATCTTAACCCCATTGCGATCCTCTAACTTATACCACTGTGGTGCCAATGGACTATCTGGTGGAAACCGCGTTGGAATATGGCCCAAATCAAAGGAAAGATGGCCAGTGATCTCATTAATCGCAGATTCCTTATCCCTTACCAAGATCTCTAATCTCCCGCCGAGAATCTGATCTCTTGTGAAAGCATAGACTTCGTTCCATTCTGGGTTTGAGGTCTGCTCAAAGCATCTAGTTATTCCCTTGTAGTTTCCAATCTTTAGCTCCACAAAAGGGTTGCAAGTGCCAGTCATGTTGTTCATTGGCAAGCCAGTGGCTCTCACAATTCTGACATAAATAAACTGCCTTTGTTCAACTAGAGTAAGCTTGTCACTGCCCGTGGCTTTCCTTCCACCAATATCAGGTGATGTCGCCTTGGGGGTATAGTCCGCCCTGGGTTTCTCTTTTGGAGGCATTTTCTCAAACTACAAGAACTAACAGAAAGATAAAAAAAACAATCACTGCCTATAATCTTTATTCCTGTTAGACATTGTGTACCAGGGGCACAAACCTTTCAAAGTTAAATTAATCTCCAAGAATATGAAAATAGCAGGTCTCTGGGAAAGTTTTGAATGCTAGAAATCTGTGGACATAAGAAAGGCAAATGCTGTCAGATTTCGTATTCAAACTTGGAAAGATAATGCATATATTATTAGTTATACAAAAACAAGCCAGACAAATAGATAATGTTCATCTAGAAAATTATACTATTTGGCTCCGCTACTTTCAATATCCCATTAATGATTTATGAAAAACTTCTTTGAAAAACATGACTATATTATAATGATATATAGCACTTTCATATATGGTTGAGCACATTAATCATTTTGTAATTTTCCAGCATAAGAGTCTGATGATCTGCACAATTCCCTTGCTATGGCACATGCATCCACCTTGCATACCTTTTATGAATAAAGCTGGATTTTTTGTGTTCAATAATCTAAGAAAGCTGGTCAAGGACATAAATCATAGTATAATTTTCAGACAATCAAACAGTAAATATAAAGTAACGGGACAATACTGTCTTTCTAACTCTTGGATGCACACACAGAAGAGAGAACTAACCTTTTCATGCACAAAAATTTCCCACAGACTTCTTGTATTAAGTACAGACTGCTGAAAACCCCATTAGAAAACCATGCTGTAAATTAGTAGACAGCATAAGAAATCAAAACCTTATAGCAAACAATATCCAAAAGTGATTGGAATGAATGTTAAAATTTGAAAATGCAATAATTAATTAATTATGTTCATATATATATATATATATATATGGAAAAATTGTAGGTTCAAAACACTAATATAACTGCAAGAAAGCAAAAATGAAAGCTTACATTTTAGTACTCGAATGTCAGAACTTCTTTGAAGCATTAGCTAGATTTTCTGTGCTCAGGTCCAAGCATGATTGGATTCAATTTGTCGAGAACATTTTTTGTGCCAATTGTTAAGAGTTTTTCAGGTCTTAAGAAAATAAATAGAGAGATTGAGAACCATCTTTGCTATTAGAATTGGAATTAATAATTACAATTGAATATTTTGACAACCTACAGGCAATCAAAAAAGGGATAATTTAAATTAAATCTTTAACTATTTTCATGATTCTGTAACGGTTGTGTGTTGAATATAGCTATGTACCAGGAGAAAATGAATGAGAGACAACCTTGAGATTTTCCCTTTTCTTCTTCTAGCGGGATGGATCTTGAATGGCATTCAAAACAGGTAAATCCTTTTTAAAATTAATGATATGATTTGGAAATTCAATTTGCATTGAATGCTTTTAAAATAATTATAATGTTTTTTTTTCTTAAATAGAAATAATAAGCTTTTGCTCTGTTTTACAGCTACAAAATGGCAATTTAAGGGGATCTTTGAGTACATGCCGTGGTATTCATATATATCATCGCTCCCAGCATCTAATTTCATGAATTAATTATTCAAAATCTAGCATAAAAGTTTTGATTTTTTCTGCTTAATGGAAGATTTTTATTGGTTATAATTCTAATCCATGCAATAAATTATGAAACAACCATGTTTGTATATCTTTAATGTGAGAAGCTTTTCTTTCTTATCTTGAACTCAAAAATTCAAATACTAAAACCGATTCAAGGCATGAAAGCTTTCAGAATTTCACTTCTACAATCACCCAAGTCGCCATTCTTTTGAAAACTCCAAGATCTCTTAGATGATTTCTCAATCCAACTGATTGAAGCTTTCTTGCACTCCTTAGTCTTCCTGATGCACCCGTTAAATGAACAGAGACTTTCCCAGCTAGTCTTCAACCTAGCATGGGCGGTGGCTATGGGAATTGTGACTGCTATGCTTGCTTTAAGGATAGAGAGGCTGGATTCTTCTTATCTTCCCGTTATTGATTCCTGCTTTCCACCAACACTTAGATGATGATACTTAAATGAAAAATCACTTTTGGAGCTTGAAGTGTATTGGTCAGCTTCTTCCATGTCTCCAAATCGGCATCTATCTACTCGCTTTGTTTTCTCTAGTCTGTGCCGTAAGAAGCAGGTGGTATCTTCTAAAGCATACTGATATGTTTCACATGCAGCCCAACACATCTCGCAAAGGCTTCATTCTTCCTATGAATTTGCAAATACCCACCTTGAACAGTAGGTAGAGGATCATCAAAGCTGCAGGTAGTATAAAGTGAAGACATGAAATCATTTCCTTATACCCCAAATCCATAACCCAACACAACATAGCATCTATAAAATAGTGGCATTTAGCTCTCACTAAAGCAAGCATTTAGCAGCAGCATTAATGATTTCAGCTCAAAAAACACGCATTACCAACAGTCTTTAAAGACCATGAACTGTTCTTGCCGAAAAAAGAGAGTAGACACGCACGCACGCACGTACGTATATATATCACCAACATGAAGATTATAATGATCTGTATTTAAAATATCAAAAAACAATTACGTGTGTAGGAGAAGCCACAGATTATCAACAGTTTCAAAAGATTGGAAATGCATAAATGTTCAATGAAACAAATTAAATCCCAATATCCACTGGTTCTGAGCACACGTAAGTCCATGCAAATTCAAACCAAGAAAATCAGCAGCATACAAGAGGAGAATCTTAAATTCATTTGAGTAGTGCTGTACATATGCAGGCTTCCTATGAGGTATACGGTAACTAATACAAGATATTAATTACCTAAGCTCTCAAACAGAATTAACATACATGCTAGCATGATGCGCCAGGAATAGTCTTGATAGGAACAGCAAAAGCATTTCCGAGAACACCTCCAATTCCATTAGCAGCTATATTGATGACAGACCCCATTTCTAAATAAGTCCAAAATCATACATTTCCCTTTCAGAAATCCACATTATGTCACTGTAAATAACTCCTTTCCTGCTTGCTTAATCATGGAAGCACGAGAAATGATAGATAAAATGGTTGAAAAGAATCAGTAACAAAACAATAGAAATAACTATCAATATAGCCATTACTATATATTACAGATGATAATTAACTAGGATGAAATTTCAATAATTATCCAAACCTGTTTCCAAAATTCTGCATGTTTTGATCCTAAAATCCTTCTTATTCGCCATGAAATGCAGGGCTCAGAGGCGCAAGAACTTGACTATTATTTATAACACTAACAATAGATGCAAACAGATAAATATAAATTAATGGAAATGAAACATATATAAGAAAAACTGGAAAATTAAGAAGAAGAAGATGGCCTGGGTCGTGACTGACCTCAAAGCCTGGTGAAAGCCAGAAAGGGTTCCAAGAGAGAGGGAGGGAAACGGTTTTTAACGGCAAGGAATTTTGTTTTTAAATAAAAGGGGGAGCCTTGAAGATGTTTTCGGCCTCGGGTTGGGCTCACAGCCTAGCCCGTATTAAGCCCAGCTATGGATTATATAAATTTGAAAAGAAATTAACAAAGGGAAACCTTTTTATAATACTAATACTAATAATAATAAAATGCTTCGAATTAAGAAAAAAACTAAATAAATATTTTTCTGTCAATAACGGCTATTGTAGTATCTCTCGACATGTGAGAGAGAGAAAAAAACTTAGAAATTGAACAGTGAAAATTTGGGGGAATTCTCAGAAATAGTCCCCTCTGTAAGTAGTATTAATTTAAATTCCAAATTTTTTTATCAATTTTTATTCTTTTTAGTCTTAAAAATCTTCAACTGAATCTTTTCTTTAATATTTTATTATAAATCCCATTCAAATTAAACTTTTTTTTCAAAAAAAAAGAAATGTTATTTGGTAGAAAATATAAAGCTTTATGTTAAAAGAATATTAAAGTTCTCTAACAAATGTTACAATTGGAAGAAAAAAAATTGAAGGAAAAATCGGTTGCGGTGAAGGTTCCAAAACATGTAGGTTAAATACCGTAGTCTTTTTTATTGTTTATATTTCACAATTACATGGATTGAATTAGTGAATTCTTTAAAAATGTTATGTAGGTTAAATTAGTTGGAAGAAATAAAAAATAAAAAATATTTATTTTTTATAATATTTTTAATATATATAGCCTTGTATAGTATTTTTTTTTCTTTTATTTTATTCAAGAAATTTTATATATGTATCGTTTTTTATTACAAATTAATCAAATAAATTTATTAAACATAATAAGATAAATAACTTGTGTTGTAATATAAAATATCTTAATTTATATTTATGTTTTAATTTTTATTTATTTTATTGTTATTTATCATTAATAACTCTTTTTTTATTTATTTACACAATGTTTCTTGTTTTTTTATTAGACGTGTAAAAGTTTTTTAATTTATATTTATGAATTTTTTTATATAAGGAAAAACATTAAAATAAATGTTTTTCATGTATTGATATTTTCAATTTAATCTTTATTTTTTTATATTTATTTTTTTTCTAATCTTTTTATAAAAGTTTTATTCTTTCTTATTCGCACCCTTGAATCTAAGTTTATTTTTATTTTATTTTTTGATTTTTTATTATTTTCAATTTAACTTTTAAATTAAAAATTCATTATTGTCCTTTAATTTTTTTTATTTTAACCCTTATGTTTTTTATTTTTTTTTAATATTGGACAACCAATATAGTGTATGATTCAAATGAAAATCTATTTTTATGATCACCATGTCAATTCATGTTGAATTATGGTCCTCTACGAAATGATAAATGATCGACTTTAGAAACTTCAAAAATAAAGGAGTTTGAAGCATTCAAACTCACGGAAAGCATGCTTCCATTCCATGTATCACTAAACCTATTTTTCTGTCTTTACCTTCTATGATTGACCAATCTCCTACTAAAGAACTTCATGTTGTCTCGCCAAACCACTTGATTTTATCTACAAGTCATTGCTTAATATTTTCCAATGTCTCACCTAATAGTCTTACAACAGATTTTTCTACTGTTACCGGTGGCCAGAAAGTGAAAAGTAAAAGGTACGACAGAGCCTGTCGCTGGTACATACAACCGACAACAGCTGCATCTGCAGGATTGGACTAGTCATGTCCTTGCAACAAAAAAAAAAAAAAAAGGAAATGTCCTAGGAAAGTTCAAGCTGTCGGCTACTAACCATTGTAGACTTGTAGTTCGCTAAAGGATATTAACAAATTCTCCACCAGTAACCTAAGTAGATAATATCAAAATGCAGACCTAAGTAAAAGTTAAATGGGGGCAGGGACATGAAAGCTAGAGGAGAATGCTGGAAGAAAATGCATACGAGTTTCCTTGGGGCAGCAATATTTAAAAGTTAAAGCATATACTGCATTGGCTTGGGAGAAGGAAGGGATTGGCTATCCACAGTAAAATGCTTGCAGTAATCTCTACTAATGAATGCAATCTTCAATCATCAGGAAGGAAGTCCTCATCTGAGGCATATTCCAGGAACGAGCCAAGGCTTTTCCTCAGAATGCAGAAAGTTTTGTCGTCCTGTGTTTCGCAGAAAGAAAAATTAGGTTAATAGTACCGGCGGCATGAAGGTTGGCAGAATTTACTTTTGTCAATTAAAAACATTTTTGACAAAATTAAAATTTATTTTTAATTTTTTAATTTTCAAATCATTTTAATATGTTCATTTTAAAAATAATTTTTTAAAAAAAATACCATTTTTATACTATTTTTATATATTTTAAAATAAAAATTAATTTAAAAATAACCAATAATATACTCTGAAATACCCTCTGAATCAGTAATTTGATATCTTTAATTAGGTTACCTGCTTTTTCTTTTTCAATGACTCCGCCAGTTTAGCAATTTTATCGGCACAGGTTTTCTCATGCTCAGATATCATGCTCTTCTCTCTCTTCCCTGATACGGACCCATAACTGAATGAGTTGTATTGTATCTCAAGTGAGAGTCTATGCACTGTTTGTTTTTATAATTTAAAAGTATTTTAAAAAATTAAAAAAATTTATTTTTTTAAATTAATATCTTTCTAGTATTTTTAAATTATTTTAATATATAAATCTCAAAAATAATTTTTAAAATATAAAAAAATATTATTTTAATATATTTTCAAATAAAAAACACTTTAAAAACAAGGATAACAGCACACTTTCACAGGCACTCTTAAACACTACTTACTCATTTGCTCGTATCTTATGCATAGCGTTTCCTTGTCTTCCTCGAATCTTGAAACAGTATCTGCCAGACAGCATCGAGAAATAGCACTAAATTAAAACTAGATTTGGGATTGAATTTGCTATCATATATAGAGTAGCATTCTAAAAAGGAAAGAGCAATAGCCATTTTGCACCATTTTCAACTTTTACCGATCCTCCCGAAATGATCCAAACTAAAGCAGCTAAATGTAAGAGCAAATCCTTTAGAAAAGTGACATCAAGCTTAATAATTATTATTGTTTGTTATTGTAATGTAAAATGTTTTTTAATTAAAAATATATAAACGTAATATTTTTTATATTTTATTTTTGATAAAGTATATTAAAATCATTATAAAATATTTAAAAATATATGTTGGAATGATCCAGTAAAACTACTAATTTTCAAAGTGGCCACGTAAGCAAGCAAGAACATTTCATTTTCAAAATAAGGGTTGAGACTTGAGAATACAGTTATCAAATGGGCAGTTACTATGCTCAATTGGTTATTTTTTAAAATATTTTTATATTAAAATATTAAAATAATATAAAAATACTAAAATAATATTAATTTGTGGTGAAGAAAAAAATAAAAATATTTTAATTTTTTTAAATACTTTTAAAATTTAAAAATAAACATAGCTATATCTTATTCTATTTCTATGCAGTGTCCACTCCATCCACACCGCACGTACAAAGTTTCGTCTTATTGTACCAGCTCGACATTTAAACATCAGTTGAAAAAATACATGAAAATTAAGCCCAGAACTTGGAGTCAACAAAGTACCTTTCTGGGCCTGCAGATGAGCTGCCTTCTCCTTGCAAAATTTGTCATAGATCTCTAGAAACTTAGCGGTCTCGCTCTTGAAGCAATTTTCGCACTACATTCATCCAATCACATAATCACATCATATGTACCCATTACTTACACATTCAAATCTGAAAAACTAACAGTAAACTTAATTTTATTCTCATTTTAATCTCCCTTCTGTTCTCTACAAACCTCCTTTGAGCTTTTTGTGAGTGCCTTCGCAAAAGTTTGCCTAACAGTGAAAAAAAAAAGATAAAATTAAACAAGAACATGTACAGAGTAAATCTGGTTTTAATAATGGATTGTTGATGCTTAATTGTTAACCTGTCCTTCTCTATTTTAAACTTCAATTCATCAATCATAGACTTGATCTCAGAGCCCACACTGTCCCCATAAAAGAACACAGTCAGATCACTATATAAATTACAGAGACCAATAGATTATTAAAAAAAAAAACAATAAGCAAAATCAATTCCGAAATTAAATTCTAATAGTTTTTAGAAAACTAGAATTACTAAACCTGTATCGGATCAAAAATTAAATTTATTTAAAAACTAATTATCAAAACAACATATTTAAAAAAAAAAACACAAAAAAATCAGTCTCTGCACAGATTTCAAAAAATAAAAATAAAAACTGAAAATATTTGAAACCTGTGAATTAATTATTCGTACGGAATCAAACACTTCATTCAAGCTATTACCACTAAGATCCCTGAAGACTACAGAGAATTAGTAAAAGGCCATGTAAATTCCAAATACTAGCTAAACCAGCAAAATTTGAACTTCTTCAATCTCTAAGATAAAATTATTACCCGCGTCTCACAAAAATATATCGAAATTAAAACACACGCGCATAAAATCGATGATTCCACGAAAATATCACTGAAAATATTAGAAATAAAACAAATAACCGACTCATATCTAACCAAAAACGACAATAAACTATAGTGACCTAGAAATCGTCTGTTCGTTTTTCTTTTGACCGTCCTTTTGAGATTTCTCTCTGATCTGCTGTAACGCCGACATTATCCCCTTTATATCACTGCAATTAAGATCACAATCTCAATTTCAGTATATTTCTTCATAAGCACAACAAGAAATTACGGGATAGAGGTTTTGAAGATGGACCTGGAGAAATCAGGATCGAACTCGTCCTCGACTCGGAATTTGGATGCCGATTTGGTAAGTAACGACTCGGCAACTCGTTTTTTGGAGCTTGTTTTCGCTGCTGACATTTTTGAGTGGGTATTTTCTGGAATTAAATTGAGAGAGAAGGAGAGATTTTTGAGTTGTGAGATTCT